CCCATCATTGGTATCAGGGGGAGCAATAGTGCCCCATCATTGGTATCAGTGGGAGGAATAGTGCCCCATCGTTGGTGTCAGTGGGAAGTATAGTGCCCCATCGTTGGTGTCAGTGGGAAGAATAGTGCCCCATCGTTGGTGTCAGTGGGAATCATTGGTGTATAGTGCCCCATCATTGGTGTCAGTGGGAGGAATAGTGCCCCATCATTGGTGTCAGTGGGAGGAATAGTGCCCCATCGTTGGTGTCAGTGGGAGGAATAGTGCCCCATCGTTGGTGTCAGTGGGAGGAATAGTGCCCCATCGTTGGTGTCAGTGGGAGGAATAGTGCCCCATCGTTGGTATCAGTGGGAGGAATAGTGCCCCATCATTGGTGTCAGTGGGAGGAATAGTGCCCCATCGTTGGTGTCAGTGGGGGAGGAATAGTGCCCCATCGTTGGTGTCAGTGGGGGGAGGAATAGTGCCCCATCGTTGGTGTCAGTGGGGGGAATAGTGCCCCATCATTGGTGTCAGTGGGGGGAATAGTGCCCCATCATTGGTGTCAGTGGGGGGAATAGTGCCCCATCATTGGTGTCAGTGGGAGGAATAGTGCCCCATCACTGGTGTCAGTGGGAGGAATAGTGTCCCATCACTGGTGTCAGTGGGAGGAAATAGTGTCCCATCACTGGTGTCAGTGGGAGGAATAGTGCCCCATCACTGGTGTCAGTGGGAGGAATAGTGCCCCATCATTGGTGTCAGTGGGAGGAATAGTGCCCCCATCATTGGTATCAGTGGGAGGAATAGTGCCCCATCATTGGTATCAGTGGGAGGAATAGTGCCCCATCATTGGTATCAGTGGGAGGTGTGCCCCATCATTGGGGAGGAATAGTGCCCCCATCATTGGTATCAGTGGGAGGAATAGTGCCCCCATCATTGGTGTCAGTGGGAGGAATAGTGCCCCATCATTGGTATCAGGGGAGCAATAGTGCCCCAACATTGGTGTCAGTGGGAGGAATAGTGCCCCATCGTTGGTATCAGTGGGAAGTATAGTGCCCCATCGTTGGTGTCAGTGGGAGGAATAGTGCCCCATCGTTGGTGTCAGTGGGAGGAATAGTGCCCCATCATTGGTGTCAGTGGGAGGAATAGTGCCCCATCGTTGGTGTCAGTGGGAGGAATAGTGCCCCATCGTTGGTGTCAGTGGGAGGAATAGTGCCCCATCGTTGGTGTCAGTGGGAGGAATACTGCCCCATCGTTGGTGTCAGTGGGAGGAATACTGCCCCATCGTTGGTATCAGTGGGGGAGCAATAGTGCCCCAACATTGGTGTCAGTGGGAGGAATAGTGCCCCATCGTTGGTATCAGTGGGAGGAATAGTGCCCCATCGTTGGTGTCAAGGGGGAGGAATAGTGCCCCATCGTTGGTGTCAGTGGGGGGAGGAATAGTGCCCCATCGTTGGTGTCAGTGGGGGGAGGAATAGTGCCCCATCATTGGTATTAGTGACACCAATGATTGGGCACTATTCCTCCCACTGACACCAATGATACTTACCTTGCTGACCCCTGCTCCAGCCTGGGCTCGCTCGCTCCCTCCCTCTCCCATGGTACAGACACTTACCGGTCAGATGTCTTCCTTCTCCGGCCGCTCTCCTCCTCTTCACTCGCTCGATCTTCGCGGTGCCGCTCGGCTCCTCCTTTCCAAGCTCCACCTCCTCGCCGGTGATTGGCCGCCTGTGTGCCTCTCCTGAGCTACAGTTCCGGCGGCCAATCACCGACGAGGATTGATCCCGGGGGTGTGTCCGGATGACAGGGACTGCATGTCATCCCGCCCACACCTGGAGACGGACAGAGGAGCGGTGTCTCGGTTCCTAAGGCCATCGGAAATATGTGTTTTCCGATGGTCTTAGGCGACCCCTGGGAAAGTGTCGTTCGACCCCCAAAGGGGTCGCGACCCCCAGGTTGAGAACCGCTGATCTAAAGCTGCTTTTATAAACCCAGCTCATCCAGATAAACAGGACAGGCTCTATACAGCAAGTGTAAAGACTCCAAAATGTATTGCATGTGTCGGGTAAGGCAGACCAGCAAGCAGGAAGGTTCCCTTGGACGTGTTTTCTGCGCATAGCCGTAAGCCAGCATACTGTACTTCACATGCATTGAGGAAACCTGGCCTCGTGCACATTCTGCTCATGCCCAGCCGCGTATGCATCTTTGTGTGCATGTGCGCACAGGCAGCGCTCGAGCACATCTGTCACTAATGTTTGCCTCTGGCAGGCTGTTTAAACAGTGTTCTGCCTCAGTGCTGTCTAATCTACAGAGCTCCTGTGTATCTGTGACCTGTTAATCTGCTTCTGAAACCAGTTACCGACCTGGCTCATTTTGACTATTCTTGAACTCCACCTGTACCAACCCCAGATTGTTTCCTAACCTATGCTTCTGCTTGCTCCCACTGCCTCTGTATTACTGATCTGGCTTGTACTCTGACTATGCTCCTACCTCTGCACTTGTACCTGATCTGTCTACCCTTAAGAGCCTCCTGCATCTAATTCAGGCAAACATTTAATCTAGTGTTGGTAACATTACTGATATGTGCAGCAATTTCAGGTGGTTCTTACTACAGCCACTTTAAGAATGTATTCCTATGGAAGCAACAAAATTACTGCCAGTTCTCCATTTAGGAATTTGGCGCTAATGAAGACAACCTGTGATCTGGCATGCAGAGGTGCTCCAGTATTCTCTGAGTGGGCCATGTCTGTGCAGGGAAGCTGTCATATACAGTATGTTTCAGATTCCCACTCAGTGCTGTACCCCCTGCTTCATTTTTGCTGTCGGTCAAGTGATTATCCAGATGAACGTTAAATGTAAACAAAAAGGCCAGGGATACAGCTGATGTCATTATCCAAATAGGGACAATGCTCTGATAGGCAACTGAGAGACTAGTTTTCCATCAGGTCTGCTTCAGTTTTGAATGTGCACAGCAGTGGGCATATTGGAAAACCACTATTGGACTGAATAGTGGCTGTGAATCCGACCACTCCTGTGCGCTGTCAATAAAAAGTGGAAGAGATTGATGGGGAACTAGTCTCTCAGTTCCCCATCAGGCACCGCCCACCCCTAGTATAAAACTCCTTGGGTAAGCGCCTGTCAGTGGCTGTGACAGGGATATGAATTGAGCTCAAACACCAACACTCTTGATTTTGTGCCCCAAGAGGATTCTAAATGGTGTCCAAGATACCTTTATGATTTCTCCCGAATATACAGTGGGGCAAAAAAGTATTTAGTCACCCACCAATTGTGCAAGTTCTCCCACTTAAAAAGATGAGAGAGGCCTGTAATTGGCATCATAGGTAGACCTCAACTATGAGAGACAAAATGAGAAAAAAAATCCAGACAATCACATTGGCTGATTTGGAAAGAATTTATTTGCAAATTGTGGTGGAAAATAAGTATTTGCTCAAAATCAAAATTTCATCTCAATACTTTGTTATATATCCTTTGTTGGCAAAGACAGAGGTCAAACGTTTCCTGTAAGTCTTCACAAGGTTGGCACACACTGTTGCTGGTATGTTGGCCCATTCCTCCATGCAGATCTCCTCTAGAGCAATGATGTTTTGGGGCTGTCGCTGGGCAACATGGACTTTCAACTCCCTCCAAAGGTTTTCTATGGGTTTGAGATCTGGAGACTGGCAAGGCCACTCCAGGACCTTGAAATGCTTCTTACGAAGCCACTCCTTCGTTGCCCGGGCAGTATGTTTGGGATCATTGTCATGTTGGAAGACCCAGCCATGTTTCATCTTCAATGCCCTTGCTGATGGAAGGAGGTTTGCACTCAAAATCTCACGATACATGGCCCCATTCATTCCGTCCTGTACATGGATCAGTCGTCCTGGTCCCTTTGCGGAGAAACAGCCCCAAAGCATGATGTTGCCACCCCCATACTTCACAGTAGGTATGGTGTTCTTTGGATGCAACTCAGCATTCTCTCTCTCCAAACACGACGAGTTGTTTTCTACCAAACAGTTCTATTTTGGTTTCATCTGACCATATGACATTCTCCCAATCCTCTTCTGGATCATCCAAATGCTCTCTAGCAAACTTCAGACGGGCCCGGACATGTACTGGCTTAAGCAGGGGGACACGTCTGGCACTGCAGGATCTGAGTCCCTGGCGGCGTAGTGTGTTACTGATGGTAGCCTTTGTTACGTTGGTCCCCCAGCTCTCTGCAGGTCATTCACTAGGTCCCCCCGTGTGGTCCTGGGATTTTTGCTCACCGTTCTTGTGATCATTTTGACCCCACGGGGGTGAGATCTTACGTGGAGCCCCAGATCGAGGGAGATTATCAGTGGTCTTGTATGTCTTCCATTTTCTAATTATTGCTCCCACAGTTGATTTGTTCACACCAAGCTGCTTGCCTATTGCAATTCAGTCTTGTCAGCCTGGTGCAGGTCTACAATTTTGTTTCTGGTGTCCTTCGACAGCTCTTTGGTCTTCACCATAGTGGAGTTTGGAGTGTGACTGTTTGAGGTTGTGGACAGGTGCCTTTTTTATACTGATAACAAGTTCAAACAGGTGCCATTGATACAGGTAATGAGTGCAGGACAGAGGAGCCTCTTAAAGAAATTACAGGTCTGTAAGAGCCAGAAATCTTGCTTGTTTGTAGGTGACCAAATACTTATTTTCCACCATAATGTGCAAATAAATTCTTTCCAAATCAGCCAATGTGATTGTCTGGATTTTTTTTCTCATTTTGTCTCTCATAGTTGAGGTCTACCTATGATGCCAATTACAGGCCTCTCTCATCCTTTTAAGTGGGAGAACTTGCACAATTGGTGGCTGACTAAATACTTTTTTGTCCCACTGTATGTTAGTATTTCCATTACTTTAGCATGTCTATGACTTACAAATTTACTTTGGAAAAGAACAGTGTTCACTTGCTCCTTTGGTCTTACATCTGCATGTAGAAATATCACTGTATCTGGAACTACGTTATATTTTCTCTTCTTAATAAATAAAAATGTGGTAAAAATTCTTACCTGGGAAGATTTCCCACTTCCTGATGTTTGCCTGGGCAGAGTGAGAAGGACCCCTTCAAACAGCTGGTTAGTCTCCTGGTTATCTTTGGTGATGTCGGCATTCTCATGCAGTCCAAACACCTCTGGGTGAGTGATAAGGGGGTAAATTTCTTATGTATTCTAGAAAGGACTGAAAGTAAAATACCTGGTTCAATTTATGAATGAATACCATAAGTAAGAATTAAAACAGAACCTTAACTTCAGAATTTAAGTTGTATTAAGATATTTTATTACACTGACTGGTGACAGTATGAAAAAAAAAAAGAATATTTTTCTCCACTTTTTTATTACGTTTTTTCTTTAAAAAAAAAACAAAAAACAAAAAAAACACTGTGACCAGAGTAATATAATGTTACCATAGCAACATTGTACTACTCTGGGGAAGTGATCAGTATTTTTTTTTTTTACACACTATGATTGCCTATAGCAGTGAATTGCACTGCTATAGGCAAGCATTTAGCTGAATGAAATCAGTTCATTCACTGTTTTGTATTGTGATTAGCTGTGATTGGCCACAGCTAATCACATGACACAGAGGAACTGTGATTGGTCCAATCTGTACCTTGTGACCAATCACAGCAACACAGTTGTATACAATGGATAGCATGAAAGGAATCCATCTATTGTTTACAATTGTCATTGTGACCTGCTATGATTGGTCACAGCGGTCAAATGGTACCGGCAAAGGGCCAGTACACAGATCTGTCATCGTCTGTGCGAGATGTCGATCCAGGAGGACATCATTTGATGCCCACCCAGATTGACGAAGTCCTGCTCGGCCATCATTTTGCTTTTGACCGGTCGGAAACTGGTTAACATATCTATATAGAAAATTAGATCTATGAATCATTACAAAATCTTTTACCAATGAAACCGGACTACAGCCATTTTTTTTAATTTTTTTTTAGAGTGAGTATAGAGTGGGGATAAATTAACATTTTTGTAAGGTCTTCATTTTACATTTTTCCTTTCCTGTTATTTCCTCCCTGCGTGATTACTGCTGTATTCCTGAAATGTCATCACACTTTTCCTCCACAATGTCAGGCTCCACGTCGAAAGGTCCTGCACTTGCCCTCCTCTGTAACAATTGTTAATGAAACCGCAGTTGAATAGCCGTACATTCGGCTATTGCGCTGGCCCCTCGGTATCAAGTACAATCACAACAAACAATACAGGAGTGCCTGTACCCTGAAGCTGTTGAAGAAACAGTACTGAGCTCTCTGGTGTGCAGCATTAATTAGAATTACAGGCAAAACTTTTTTTTTTCTTCCTCTTGGATAGAGTAAGGGAGGGTTATATCCTCTGTCAGTTTTGGGAATATCCATTGGGGAGATTTACCTCCCATTCCTTTTCCATAGCTAAAAGAGGAATAGAGGAAATCCCTGCATACTAAAGAAATCTCCGCAGGTCACTAGGACTAATATACCCCATTGGAAGATTTCCCCTTTTCTGGGGACAACCCAACATTTGAGATTTTCTTTTACTTTCACTTTTGATGATAACGGTAAACAGGACAAATAGAGAGGGTGGATCTCCCTAATGGGAGCAGAGGTGTTCTAACCTATCTCCACTCTATCCAAAATGAAAAAAACGTCTTGACTTTAGTTATACTTTAGCAGAGGTAGTAGAGAGAGTGTAGGAAAGAGACTGTACAAACACCAAGCAATCTTCATGATTATGAGGCCCTGGTGAGTTGGTGAGTACCTCCTTTTGTGGGCGTTGGCAGCTATGCAAATTATTATTTCCTAAAATGCAATGTTACTTGTACCCCTTGATTAATGTGAATAGCGGTGATATTTGTAGCCTTGATGAACAAAATGTAGACACTTGAGAAGCATTATCTCTCATCTTTTGAAAAAAAAAAGATACTACTACTACTACTGTTGAGACGTCTTCCTTTGAAAATAAGGTTGCCCCTCTTAATTGAGTAGTCTGCTTGCTATGTGTCTCAGTATTCAAACATAGAAAACTAGGAAAGTGGTAGGGTGAGGCCAAGCTCAATGTTTGCGAGAAAAGTCCAGATTTCCATAAAAGTTTAGCTTTCTTTATCTCTGAATCTGCTGATTTTTTTTCCATTTGTTCTTCAGGATGTTTAGAATACAGAAATGAAAATAACTTTTCATGTCATAATTATTTTCTGCCAGCTTGCTATCCAGCAATTCGACCAATAAATTACAGTAAGCCCGTGTATAATTTCAGTACCTGATATGTGCCATATGGAGGAATATAATAAAGGTCTCCGGGGGAAAGTCTATAGTTATCTTGCTGTATATCCTCACTGTAGAATATGGAAAGCAGGGACAGAAGGAGGCGCCTGTCCTTATCATCTGTTACTCTTCCACCATAGTTACATTCCCCTGCAAAGAAGATTAGAGTTACATTTTTCAGGTACCTTGTAAACTTACTCCCCCTTTCCTGCAGCATGTACAGTAGCATGGACCCTAGTGCAAATACATCATTTTGGTCCATTTAAACATATAAACCACAAGGTGTCTGCTTTTACTTTTGTTTAGCTATGAAGCCTCTGTGAGCACTTTCGTTGCTGGTTTAATTTGGTTATCAAGGAATTGATGTTCCTAAAACAGGGCTAAGAAGAATATAAGTCAAATCCTTAATAACAAAGTTAAAACCACTTAACAGCTATAGGTTATACAGGCTATAGAATGGTTTTGTGGTTAATAAAGGTAATTGCAGACACCTTTGACACATATTTACATTAATCAATGTCATGTGAGGCTCACAGTATGTTTATTTGTAATGGTCTCCAGCTAAGATACTGCAGAAGTCAAGGGCTAATAGCTTTTGTTGAGCTCCAAGACTGAGATTCTTTACATGCCTAGTAATTTATGCATACCTAAACTCTGTCTGTAGCCTTATATTTTATTAGATGTGCCCAGGTTGTAGAGCAGGTCTAATGTACAACTTTCTTTGATGACTACACATTAACATTACAGTGGTTTAACCAAAGTGCACCTTCCATGCAGATGAATTGGAATGCCTATTAAAAAGTGTGATTATTATTATTATTATTATTACAGGATATAGCACAAAAGGTTTGCGCAGCGCTTTATGCATTTAACAGGTGCCTTACCCCAGAATTATTGCAAATTTTATTTTTGATAATCAAAATACAAAGCAAAACTCATAAATATGGGCATAGCAGCAGGGGTCTCAGGGGTCACAGGGGTCACATCTGTGACCCCACTCATGCTACAGGGGGGGCCCATGCTGTCTTGCTGTCACTATAATGGGCAGAGTGGAATTCGGAGCAAAGCGGAAGCTTTGAGCTTTTGGCTCCATTTTCAAGTCCTGAGCTGCAGAGTAGCGGAGGAAGGATGGGCTGAGGCCAGCCCTGTTGGACGGGAAAGTGTCAGTGCTGACAACCATGCAGGGATGGACACCAAGCTGTCACCTGGCTAAGCGAGGGAGGAGGAACAGAGCATCATCCAGGAGCTGGTACTGCTGTCATTAGGGAGGTAGAAAGATACCATTCAGATCCGGGCAGAGAACAGACACACACCACAACCTGTGCCACTCACACAAAAATTCTTACAAAATCCTGTAACACCTCCTGAGGGGACCCTGAGGGACTGCAGACTCCAGAGGCTGCAGATTTTACTGTGACAGTTTGAGCAGAGGGGGAGCTGGATGGGGAATCTGTCATTGTCAGCATGGGGGGGGGGGGGATAATGTGACATTACCAGGATGTTGGGGGGGGGGGGGTTCAGTAATTCTCTGGGGGCCATGTGTCACTACTAGGCGGAGGGCACCTGAAGATGGGGGTCATCTGTCATTACCTGGTGGGGGAAGGGGTATCTGTCATTGCCTGGTGGGGGAGGGGGTCATCTGTCATTACATGGTGGGGCAGGAGGGTCACCTGTCATTACCTGGCGGGGGAGAGGGGGGTCATTTGTCATTACCTGGTGTGGGAGGAGGTCATCTATCATTACCTGGTGGGGGAAGGGGGTCATCTGTCATTACCTGAAGGGGGGAGGGGTCATCTGTCATTACCTGGCGGGGAAAGGGTCATCTGTCATTACCTAGGGGGGAGGGGGTCATCTGTCATTATCTGTTGGGGGTACATGTGTCATTACCAGGAGGGAAAGTTATCTATCTTTACAGGAGGAGGGGTCATCTGTGATTAACTGAAGTGGGGGGCTCTTGAAGGAGGGGCTATCTTGTCAATACCAAATGGAGGCAGGAGGGCATGTGTCATTACCAGGAAGGGGGGTGTTACTTTTCCCTAATATCCTGCACCTTCATATCACTGCAGCCTGGCCATGACAGAGGTAACTGGGGTGGTGTTTAATAATGTATAAAAGAAAGGAGTTAAAAAAAAAAGTGTGATATCTGCAGTGGCACACTCTCTGATCAGCCCCCCACCCAGCCCAGTAAAGTACCCCCCTTCTGCCCCTATTCAGCCCTGCACGTGCACACAAGGTGGGGGCAGGCAGATCACACTGTGAGCTGCTAAGTGAAAGCAATGGGCTGGTATGTGGATCTGGAAGTCAGAGGGCCTGCTGAATTTCCTCTTTTATATACAAACCTACCACTTTCACCCTAGAGCAAAGAGTGTGGCTTGCCTGCCCCCACCTTGTGTGCACATACAGATGGCAGCAGGAGAGAGAGAAGAGAGACAGACAACATACAGCTATCATATCTTGGTGGACAGTGGAAGCATCTTGGCGCATAGTGGAAGGTAGTGTGGGCCCCATGTCAACTTTTGCATCAGCATCCACAAGCTTCAAGCTACGCCTCTGCTCATAAACATGCTTTTATGTATCAAAAGCATTTGTTGGATAAGCATGAATCTTTCCAATGTGCATACCTATGTAAATTAGGAATATGAGCATGGTGCCCAAGGGCAGCAAAAAGTAGGACAAAAGTCCAAGAATGGTGGAGAGATAATGTAATATAATTAAATGGTAACCTAATACTTACAGACCCTTTATAAATATTTAAGTGACAGTATTACACTATTATTACAGTATTATATTTTTAAATATAATGTAAGTTAAGATTATGTATTGATTGTTTTAAATTTGTAGTAAACAAAACTGACCAAATAGAATAACTTTAGTTAATAGGGGTATGCGTCAAATGTTAGGGTTAACAAAGAGAGAACATAAAAACAAAGAATACATTTGGTACGTTCCAGAACAAGAAATATTACATTACATTTTCACAAGTACTGTATCTTCATAGAAATCAATCAGTATGCTTGTTTTTAAGAACAAAACAGTAATGAAACTATCTCTTTTTGTATGTTGTGTTCTATATTTTGACAAAATTACATGCTCTTTTTAATGCGCTACAAAATGCATTTTACCTGTGTCCCTTGGAATATACGTAAATCATACAGTAAAGGATGAAAATGGGATATTTATTATTGTCAGAATATACCCACTAATGCAGTGTATTTCAGCAAATGTTTTCCAAAAAAATATTTTATTGTACTCATCTAACAGGAACATATTCATGAAAATCAATCATTTTGAAACAGAGAGAATTAAAAATCTGGAAGACGGAGTATTTGCTTATGTAAGCATTTTTTTAAAAAATGTTTTCTTTAAAACCTCTTTAAAACTGAAGTATTATTAGCAAACAGAACCATATAAAATATTACATAACTGTGGGAAATAGTGGATATGTGCAGCTTCCATCAGCACAAATAGTAAGTTTGATTTAATTGAAAGATTTATACTTGTTCCATGTTACAAATGGTGACCAATTCTAAGTTTGAAACGATAGGAGGTGGCAAACTGTACTCATTGCAAAGTCATCATTAAAAAGCTAAAATATTAATTTGCCATAACCATCATTTTCAGCAACAATATTGGAGATAAAAACAATAAAGGTGACTGAAAAATAACAATTGTTACAGTAAATAACATAAAGCTAGCTCTAGTAAATTGAGCTGCAGCTCCCATGTTTTGTAGTAGGTTGTCCTACGCTGACTACAGTAAACATGCAGAACAAATTGTTTACAATTTGCATCCTGTTCACATTTCAATGCTCAGTTGTTTTATGCTGAAAGCCCTATGCTCACAGAGGTCCTGAACTATTTTTTTGAGCATAATCAGGTGTTCCACATATTTTAATGAGAGCATCTTTAAATGCAGATGCATTTTCATATGTTTTTGTACCATAAAAACTGCTCTCCCCCTCTAGAACTGCTGTTCTCCCCTTCCCCAGCCAACACCCACATGAAGCTTGATACACAAGTAACATGACAGTAACATACTTGTGGACTGCTCTGGATTACCTGTCAGGTAAGTAAGAGCCTCAAAAGGAACCACTTCATACTCATTGAGAAACATCTGAATCTGCCTCATGCTGATTCTTAAGTCTGACTCATTGAACTCATATGAAATATTCCAGCCTGTTGGAATTTGGAAAGAGAAAATGAAAATCACATTAGAAGTAAAACTTCAAAACAGCTGCACATTCAAATCTTAGATAACCTATATAAATCTTCATATGGATACACATGTATTGCGATTTAAATACGAATACATGGGATGTGCAAATTCGTATGGCCAGGGATTCCAAGCTGCACCTAAACATTCCATGAATGCACACAGGTAATGTAGCTCTAGCCAAATAAAAATTACAGGCATCAGCCAACAACAATTTTTTGTAATTTGTTGCAGTGGAAAGAGATAATGTTGCTATGTAAATGTGCACATGCCTTTACTGACCTGAAAAGATGATGAAGGGATTTAAAATATGTCTCTGGTCAAAATGTAGATTCATACATTCTTTCCACGTTGTATTTTAGTTATTTTTAACCCACTCCTATTGCTGTGAATGATCTTGAAGTCTGTAAATTTACTTTGTGAAGATCCCAAAACATTTACTTCCTTGAATTCTGTGACACATATGCCCTGTTGATAGGCACTGCTGTGTCACACATTTCACAGAGCCTGCCTTCTGAACTACAGAGGTGCTGATAGGAGGAGTTTCAGGAGGCGTAGTCAGTACAGGAATCTCTGCTTGCAGGCAGCAAGGTACTGTGGAATATGTAACCCTTAGAAATTGAAAGTAACTAGTGGAGGAGAAGCTGCAAAGCATGCAGGAAATTCAGGCATTCCGCACTCACAACATGCAGGCATGCCGCACTCACAACATGAAAGGAGAATTTTCAAGTAAGTTTATCTTGTTTTGTCAAAAATAAGTTTTTAAACAAACAGAAAGAAACTTTCTGCATTCTAATAGCATCACATGGATCCTGATTTATTGAAGCAAACAGCCACCGTGAAGCCCCTGCCTTTGGGACCTCCCCTCTAATACGTTCCACCAGAAAGGTCTTACTCGTAGATATCTCCATGAAGAAGTCCTTTCAGGTAAAACACAGGGATGTCCTAAAGGCAATTACTTCATGGTGATTGCTTCAGTAAATCAGGATCCATGTGATTATATCGGACTTTGGAGAGTTTATTTCTGGCTGTTCATGTGTTGGCGCATCGATGGCTTCCTGATACACCTGCACCCAGTGGAGACATCAGAGCAGGAGTAACTAGGCTTAGAGTGGAGGAGATTGTTTCTATCTATACACAAAAAATAGCCATTGTTCGTATTGTTATTACAATGCTGATGTTCTAACATGAAAGTGTGTGCTGTACTAAACTTTCTTTCTTCAATCTACCTATGCTACCTGAGAATTCTCCATGCTGTAGGCAGAGCCCACATTTGAATGATCAGCCCACACCAGCTCACGTCAACATAAGATGGATATAATGATTGATATGATTATATAATTCACAGCACAAATCCAGCTGCTCACGACAAATGATAATTCACAGTTTATTTCCGCTGTGAATTGTGTGTCTTGGAGTGAAATTGTAGTTCATCTTGATGAAAATATATCTCATGTTCAGTGTTATACAGTATGTGTCACCCACCAAGGGTCAGCAATGTTTCTACACATAACATTTATTGTGTAGACTTACTATATTTTATATTAGTACATGCTAATAAATATAAATCTACAAACACATAAGTATGTGCTGTATAGATATCTCTAAGATTATGGGTAAAATACATAGATAAATGATACAACGCCAAAAAAATAACAATACAACCATTAGTGTAGGATATATAAATCATAAACAAATCTATGATAAATATCTCCAAATATAAAAATGCATAAAAGTAAAGTGCGAAGAAAGTAATACAAAACTCCCAAAGAAGTTCCTCTGCCTCAATGTATAGAGGTTTGCTCATACAAGTGCTGTTGAGCCAGAGATAGAGGCACATGTATCTTTCAAAGGACACTGTGGTACTGACCTTGGCTGGAGCGTAGGCAGTGGTAGTAGTTAAGAAGACTCAGAGATGGGGGACACAGAGATATCAATGTAGAATATGTTTTTTTAAATCAAAGGAAATGGTGAAATAAATGAAAAAGGTGTGGTGAAAATTTCATTGTAAAGGCTGGTGTATTTTTTTTTCTTTTTTTACATACAAAAACACTCTTACTTTTTTCTGTTCAAAGAAGTTGTACATCTTTTCTAGTTTAAAATAATATGTTCTCTAGCTGGCTTTAACTGATACTACAGATTGGTAGGCCAATAACATTTTTTTCATAATGTATCATTTTGAAAAGATTGCAAAACAAATTAAATTATATCAAAATTACTTTTGCATACATTTTACAATAGTAGCTTGAAATGAATTTTACTAGAAATATGATACAATTTTGACTAAAACTCCCATACCTAATGGGCCAAAGGTCCTTCTTTCTTGAACCAGAGCATGAAAGAAGCACAGGCCAAATAAGAGTTTTTGCCATATCCTGGGTTTCTGGCAGCTGCTGAAGAAGACCGGATCTGATATAGGATTGTTCAAGTATGATCGCAAGAGATTGGCCCTCAGCCCCTTAGGAGGTTCATTGGTCATTTTTTATACCATTCTGGAGGATGCTTACAGGGAATTTGTCTGAAGGGTAACTGGTTAACCAGAGTCTGAAAGAGAAATCATTGATATGCATAATAAAAAAGACATTCAGTTACCTATAGTATCAAATCATATTTTAATTTGAAATCAATTCATGGTTACTGCTCTTGGAAATTTTATTTATTTATTTGAATTAATTTTTGTAATAGTTTTTCCTCCAATTTAAACTAATATTTTATAAGGGATCAGCGCACACAGATAGCAGTACAGGACAGATCCTAACATAAAATCTTCCCTCATGTAGGTACTTTAAACAGTACAGTCTTTTTTTTTCTGCTGGCCAGGTAAAAGAAACCTAGAGAGAAGGGATGGCCATGTTACCCACCTTCTCCTTTGTTGACCAGACTCCAAAGCCCTACCTAGACAGAAATACAACTGCCTGTCTATTCTTCTGTCCTAATAATTTTTTCCACAGAAATGGTTACACTTCTTTCAATGATAAACATGTGCTCATGTCATGTGGCTATTAACCACTTCCCGTCCGCCCTATAGCAGAAATACTGCTACAGGGTGGCATGGGTGTGCAATATAAATACGTGATTTTGCAGTTCCAGGTAATGGGCGCGCACAAGCCACCATTCGGGACCTCAGCTGTCACTCATCGGGTCCCGGAATAGCAGAACTATACAAAGTAGTGTGCTTACAGTTGAAAGCACACACAGCACATAATGTGAAACAGCACACAGTTAACCCCTTGATTGCCCCACATGTTAACCCCTTCCTGCCCAAAGCCATTAGTACAGTGTCAGTGCTTTTTTTTCAGTGACAGCAAGTCAGTTCCCCCCAGTGTCAGAATGCCCGCCGGAGTCCCGCTATAAGTCACTGATCGCCGCCATTACTAGCAATTTTTTTTTTTACATTTCAGTATATACCGCCATTTGTAAACACTATAACGTTTGTGTAAGCCAATTAATTTACACTTATTGGGATTTTTTAGCAGAGACATGTAGTAGAATACATTTTGGCCTAAATTTATGTCCAAATCTTTTTTTTATTTTTTTATTGGACATGTTTAATAGCAAAAAGTCAAAAATATTGTCTTTTTCTCAAAATTGTTGGTTTTTTTTGTTTATAGCACAAAAAATAAAACACACACAGGCAATCAAATACCACTGAAAGAAAGCTCTATTTGTGGGAAAAAAAAGGACATAAATTTCATTTTGGTGCAGCATTACATGACCGCGCAATTGTTAGTTAAAATCAGTTAAAGTAATGCAGCACCGTAACGAAAAAAATGAGTCAGGAAGGGGGGTAAATCCTCTGGAGGGCAAGTGGTTACACATTGATAAAACTCAGAGTATACCCTCTTTAAATGTGTTGTATGATTTTCTTGTGCTGCAGCTCATCAGAAGATATCAGTAGTTTCATTAATGAGCTCACGGCATCCATGTGCTATTACACAAGCCTTGTTTAAATCTCCAGCAAAAGCCATGAAACAAATCTGTAAACTAGGTCATACTATTCCTCGCAAAAAGCAAAACATTAATAAGGTTAAATATAATCCAAACCATTTTTCTTAGTTTTTTTTTTTTAGGTAGAAAGTGGTAAGGTCGACTGTTAGGCTTGTTGTGCTGTCTGCTTCACCTTTCCTTATCCCCCACCTCAATGACCACCAGTGCATTTTTTGTGAGCTGAAATTCTCATTAGTGCATTATCCATCTATTCTTATAAGTAATCCACCAGAAAGACAATGTCACTGTCACCAGCCCAGAGTGGATTCTCAAAAAAAAATATATTGAGGATTCACCTCTAAGAGGAAAAAAAACAGTCAGTCACAGAAAATACCTTGGTGGTCACAAGGAAAGAAATCAACAAGAATATTCAGCAAGCAGCAATAAAAACCTGACAAAGGGCCTAAAGATCCTCCAGTGGCAGTGGATTAGGAGAAGGATTTGGTCATGCACTGTAAAGTAAAAAGACAGGAGGTTGCTGATCATGGATTCCAGTCCACTAAGTAACACAATTAAATGGGACTTTTGTTGTTAGGAACCTGTCTGTGTTACTTCTTGGAAAGGTCCCAATCAAATAGAGGATATTTATTTCTCTTGGAACTTCCTTTTAGACCTACAAAAGAAAAATAATGATAAAACACTGCAGAGCCATGTAGCTGCAGTTCCCTGAACACAAAATGTAGCCAGGTAAAAAATAAAACACATACTTTAGTTTACGAACAAACTACCACATGCTACATTTTTTTCTGTTATTTTTATTTTTTTAATTGGATTCATGCTATTTTTTGTTAGGATGTACTCTCTATTGTCACTTGTTACATGCATAAGTGCACTGCAGTGCAGAAGGACATGCATTGCAGAGGAGTGCAATGCTCCTTTTTGGCACATTTTGGTGCATAAGGCAGCACAGTTAATTGAACAGGCTGCTTTAGCCCAACACACGTCAGTGCGCATGTCTTAAAGTAGTTGAAAAGAAAAATCAACAAAGAATATCCATCTATAGTATGCACTTGCCTCTATTCAAAGATCCTAGCGTGATTTCTGTCTGCTCTTGCATTCCTCTGCTATCTGCATGGGTCACTTCTGACAGTCTATGCCGACACCAGACAATCCCAGGAGACTGCCCCACTCCCTCCAGCATACAACAGGTAATTGATAGCCTCAGCTGTGCATGTTTTATTATGAGGCTGCGTAGAAGGGGTGTGTGTTCTTTCCCTTCACTCAGGGCTCAGATTACTCTCCCTCCTCTATACCATACAGTGTGTGACATCAGAACCCCCCACCCCCTGCCTTTTGAAATTCCGTATAAACTCTGTACTTTGAATAGTTGAGAGAGGGCTAAAGATAAACTGGTACAACTTATGTAAGAGGCTTTGTTTCAGATCTGTGTATCACCTGAGGCTAGTCACTTCAGTGGGTATATGTAAGGGCTTGGTTTTGTATTGGTCAGCATTGTTTTTGTGAAACGAATGTTACAACAAAGTATTCAACGTTGTATTGTTCAATTATGCAGCACAGTTAAAGTGAACTAGTGAAAATAGAAATATTGCAGCCAATGAAGTCTGGGAAGTCTGAATTCTCAACCTATACGGTTGCTCCAAAACTGTTAGTCACTAGGTAGTAAAGTTAGCATCAGGACAACAACTCAGCATTTATTAACTGTCTAACCTTCCCCATAAATTCAATATGAATGTACTGGGAACTCAATGCAACTTAGGTATAACTTGAAGGACTCCTTAAGCACCAGAAAGCACATTGTATGTGACTAGATTCTATGTCTGAAATGTAGTTTCTCTTTCCATACAAGTCCTTAAAATAAGTCAGCATAGGCAGCATCCATACTTCTATTCTCAGAGGTTCCCTTGAAATTGTTCCTCCATTGGTCCACAACTGCTATAACATGGTACAGACTAGGGCTCCATACCTGAACTTCTCATTGGTATTTTCTGGTACAATAGTCTCCTCACAGATCTTCTCGAGAGTGGGCATCCAGCTGGTGGCAAGGTGGCAGTTCTGGAGGACCACCCAAGTCCCATCCTTTATGGCCTGATTAATCATCCTTTCTGCTATTGGCCCTTGACCCTGCCCAAGTGATATGGTCTGGATGTTTTCTCCTCCCATGCCAAGGTCTTCAGCAAATTTCAACAAGCCTAACAGAAGAAAAATATTGAAGTTTAAAGCAGAATTCTAGTTTTGTTAATTATGGATATAAAATATATCATTGCTAAACTAGTCACTTTGTAATTTAACAAAGTTTGCCAGAAAGTTCTTTTCCATGGCACTCATGTTGTTTACATTATTTTCCAAAATCCTCTTCCTTCTGTTGCTGGCTTCCTATTTTCCTAGAGTTCAAATTACAGTCATCTTTAGCAAAGTCCAATGGTTTACTGGACAAGGGGTTTCATTTTTTATGACACCTTTACAAGTATTTTTTATAATATACAGGTGCATCTCAATAAATTAGAATATCATCAAAAAGTAAATTTATTTCAGTAATTCAATTCAAAAAGTAAAACTCCTATTATATAGATTTCATTACACACAGAGTGATATATTTCAAACATGTCTTTCTTTTAATTTTAGTAATTGTGGCTTATGGCTAGTGAAAACCCAAAATTCAGTATCAGAAATTTTAAATATTGTGAAAAAGTTCATCATTAAAGACAGCTACCTAACTCAAAACAAGAGGTTTCCTGAGCCTTTAAGTGGTCAGGTAAGTCACAAAATGTCATTGTTAAAGAATCTAGCTGTTCACAGAGTGCTGTATCCAAGCATATTAATGGAAAGTTGAGTGGAAGGAAAAAGTGTGGTAGGAAAAAGGTGCACAATCAATCTCTGAATTTGTTATAACAGTACAATCTAATTTAGATATGATATCTCTGTTGTGCTACTCATTTGTATTCTCTACTATACAGTGGCGAACTGACAAGTCATGGGGCCCCGGGCAATAGGGGATCATGGGGCCCCTGTGTCCTTGCCCACACACAAATCACACCCAAAAAAGCCTGTAAAAAAGTACCAGGGGCATTTCATGGGGCCCCCTACTGACCCCGGGCCCTCGGGCAGTGCCCGAGTGCTCGAATGGTCAGTCCGCCCCTGCTACTATAAGCCCCATTTCTGGGTGAAAGGCCCTGATGGAAGCTGACCTCTTTCCTGCCTGCGCTCAATTGGTCTGTTGGGAGAGGCTAAAACTGTCAATTACTTTTTTTACAGTATGTGATTTTAACAGCACTTTTGCTTTTTGAGGGTCTGTTATCAGCACTGAGCTTAGACAGGAGGTAAGACAGTGTTTTTTAAGCTCCTAGAAGCTAAATAGTCCATGCACACTACTTTAGGCTGTTAGCATTTTTTGAACTTCAGTGTCTAGGAGAAGAAAAAAAATAGTTTTTGTAGAGTCTTGTGGAGCTTTTTACTAGCAGAAAAAAAAAACGCTAAACGTTGCTAATCGCTACTAAAACAGATTTTTTTCTAGATTTAATTTTTTTTTCCTCTACATACACTGTAAATATGCTAAAAAAACACTAACGCTCCTAAACGCTTCTGAAAACTGCTAAATATCTCTACTAAAACACTACTGAAAACCACTATTACCAGCGTTTTTTATCCAGCGTTTTCTGAGCTTAAAAACAAACCGCTAGTGTGCATGGATCCTTAAAATGTTTGCTCTGACAGGGAGACAAAACAAGTATATACAAATACCCCCCGAGAGATAGATCCCCTGTATTGTAACAATTTAAAATTGAAGAGAGAAGTGTTTGTAGGTTTGGATAGAGTATAGTGTGTTTGGTTGCTATGTCCCTGGTGGGGATAATCATCTCTATGTTTGCCCTGGTCACTATTGAACTAAAGTCTTCTGCAAATCCAAACTTTTAGCTGGAATGAATTGTTTTGGTGTCTATGGGAGATCTCTCCACAATTTGGTGAGATTTACTTTTGTCTCCTGTTGCTTCTCCAGTACAGGAGGTAAAAGGAAATCTCCCCTGCAGGATACAGACAGAAAAAATAATTGGTTTTTAACCACCCCCTCATCTCACTAAAACAAAAAACAAACAAACAAAAAAACCCCTGAAAAACGAAAAAAAAAAAAAAAAAAACTAAAAAAGATGTTTAAAAAAAAAAGAAATAAAATAAGTTTAGGTTGTACATACTGTACATTTTAAGATAATTACAGGATATCTATCAATTCATTGCTGTTATGTGTTTAGTATTTTATGAATTAATGATTGAGTTATGTACTAGTGAACTACAGTATATGTACTCTAATTATTATCGAATGTGATCTTTTTGTATAAAATTATATACTTCTGGCCAAACTGTTGAAACCCCAATGCTTTAACTATTTGTTTTACAGTCTGAATATCACTTTAATGGCTTCAGTCTGCTGGCCGCTACTGTCACTGTGAGGCACATTGACAGCTGAGCTGACAGGCTTGTTTGTAAACTTATATGGTCACATAATCTGAAACTATTCAGTGTGGTTCCTGGTTGTTATTCAAAATAGCTATCAGAGACAATGTGGTCTCAGAAGAGAGCGGTAGCACTACTGCAGCCTTCTAGTTCCAAAATGGAATGTAGTCTATCATTTCTTTAACATAAGGCATCATGTTGAAAATTAAAATTTGTTTTTTCAGATTGTGAGCAGGACGTAGATAAACATGTACACATTTATATATATATATATATATATATATAAACACACGTGTGTATATACTGTTTATATATATACTGTATATATATATATATATATATATATATATATATATATATATATATTGGCCATCTGCACCATTAAAGGTAAGAAAAAGCTTACACAATTTAAAGTATGTGAATATGTCAAATTAAAATTTGTTGTATTTGTTTTATATATATTGTATATAGATATATATATATATATATAATATATATATATATAGCCATTCAGCCAATAACTGCATTACGATACATTATTGTTCATTTGCCTAGAAAAGTAATGATTTAAAATGTTTTACCTGCCATAGGATCAGCACCAGGAGAAAGCACAAAAATCAATGGAGCACAGCAGTTAGAATCATTATAACTTCCTGTAAGGTCAAATGTTGGTGGCTCAATATAAGCTTTGCCCATGTTTTCTGCAATGAATTCCTGTATTGCTGGAACCATTTTGTCAGGTCGTAGGCATCTGAGTATCACCATGCGACTTATTCCTGTCAATTCTTGCCATTCATCTGGAAATGTTTCTTCGTGAGGTGTAAGGGCATCATAAATCATCTTCCATTTTGAAATATTGTTTTTAAAATGATCCATAAGGCCAGTAAGTGGTTGAAGGTTGGATGCTCGAACAATTTCTGCCCAGGATTTATCAGACAACCACTGGGGAGCTGGGTTTGAGAAAGGGTTGTCGAGCGCTACTCCACCAGTCAAGAGGAAGCGCCATACTTCATCATCCATTTTACCTTCTCCTTTCATTATGCCAATGGTAAGAAGAAGGGAAAACAGCAGTTTGTCTTTTTCAAACAAGGACCTGCAGACATTCTTATAAATGCTTTGAGTAAAATGCTGGATAATATTTGATATTCTGGTGTTTAGGTCTTCACTCCTTTCACTATGGGCAAGTGAGTGAACATAAAGATTAATGAACCAGGTAAGTGAATACTGGTACATTGGCTCAATGTTGGCCAGATCAGAAATGCAGAAAAATACAATGGATGAATGAATAGCAACAGGTTTGTATCCCATTCGGGTCTCATCAATTTCCTTTTCAGTGGCAGAAGCAATTTGCTGTTTCTCTGAAATCTCTTCAGAAAGCAGTTTTGATGAGGACAAAACTTTGATAGCAGTCTCATCTTCTAATATGTTTCCTTTTGAAGATGACAGTACCTCCAATATTTTGTCTTCTATCTCCTTTAGCTGCTTTTTGTTGGCTGCACTTTCAATAATTAACTGATTCTTTTTTTCTTCTAGTTCGGGCTTTTCTTTTGCAGCTACAATGCCAAGAAGTTGGTCTTGAAGACCTAAAGGGGTAATCATGAAGTTGAGAAGACACACCTTTACAGCCACCTCCGGGAGATAATGGGGGTTTCTTAATCGAGTGGTCATGTAAAGCCTAAAGTCTTTTGAGTATTCTATAATATTTTCACCAAGACGAATATACTCAACCCCTTGTTGTTTAAAAGTTTGTTTTAAAAGCAAAGGTTCCAATATGGCATCTATTTCCTCTCCAATATTTTCGATTAACACAGGATACCCAAACTGTATTGCATTCTCCAATGTTCTCGTGTATGTTGAATCTGACAACTTGATGACAGAGAGTTTGTTGGTTTTCTCCATATTCTTTATCCATTTGTTAGCTTGCCCTTGAGGATCAATCATTAAAGCCCATCTTCTTGAATTTGAAACAATAATTCCATTGTCTATTGAAAAAAAATCAACTGGGAGACCAGCTATCTGCCAAGCACGGATTTTAACAGGCTCACCCAGGGTGTTACTCAAGCTAAAGTCATTTGAGCAGGGTATATTCTTCTCTTTGCACAATACATGCCATTGACTTTGACACTTCTGACGATAATCTACAGTGAAAGCACCGAGATAGGCCACAGTTCCCGAAGACAGAAGGACATCTCCAGTAAGATTTGTGTACTTATGCCCTAGGAGTCGTGCAGCTTCTGTCCACCTATCTTTCTCTCCACCAAGGCCACTGATCAGTTTCTCAGCACGGACCAGCTTCTGAGAACAGATTTCAATATTCTTTTCCAGTTCTTCCTTCTTGTTATTCATGGCATTGAATTCATCATTTAAAGCTTGCAGACGGTCTTCCACAGCCTTTAGTTCAGCTCGCTTAGTGTTCAGTTGTTCCATCTGTACAGCCAGCTTAGCCTCAGCTTCTTTAAGACGTTCACGTTTAGGAGCAACCACTTTTGCCACACGATCATACACCTCCATAGCTCTGACCCACTTGCACAAACCTTCACAAGCTGATGACACATTCTTAATTACAGATGGCTGAAAGTCTTCATTATTGATAAATTTCTCACGAATCTTTTTCATAACGGTAGAATCAATGTTGTCTTTATCAAACGCTTTTAAACTATCCAGAAATTTCATGTCTCCAAGTACTTTTTTTGAAGGGCCCCAAAAATCTTCCACCATTTTTCCTAATACAAACAGAAACATATAATAAAAAATGTGGCATGCACATGAATAACACACCTGAGAAAACACATACAACACACATTTTGTTGATGATTAAGACAAGATCTAGGACAAAATGGGGTGTCCCATTTTAATGAGGAAGTCAGAAAAAAAAACATTTTTTTCAAGAAGGGTCAAATCTGTATTAACAGGTCGAAAACCCTTTGACATCTATTATTATGCAGGTATATGTTAGTTTTTTCCATTGTGTCTTCTGTAGCTAGTGAGTCTTGCCAAACAAAAATACAACACCTTTAATTATACCCAATCTCCAGAACAAAAGTGTAATTTATTTCAACTTAACAGTTCTTAGATGTGGTGTCTGCATTAGTTTTCTTTTTTAGGCTAGATACGTGTTCTACAAAGAAAAAGAATACTTACTGATCCTGTCAGAAAACTGGTATTACTTCCTGTACACTTAACTGAAATCTCAAACAAAATCCTCCTCCTCAGTTCTTGTTTGTGGACAACAGAACACATTCCCCATATGTGAACAAGATAAGGGGGGAAAGGGGAGGTGTTTGTAGTCCAAAATCAGGAGTGAGCAGCCTAGGGTGAAGATACCGCTCCTTAGCCATACATATTGTACAGTAAGTCTTGTCAGCCTAGAACAGGATGTTGTGTTACTAACAAGATCACCAGGTAAAAATAAAAAAAAATCCTGCACAAAGAAAACTAATGCAGCCACCCCATCTAAGGACTGGTAAAAAGCAATGTATATAATTTATTTTCTTGGGATTAGATACACTGTAACCTGTCAGCTTTGCACTCAGTATACAAGCCCTTCTCACAAGAGATGTGAGATCAGCAGTGACTTGCCGAGTCATTATTAAATGCCAGGACCATCAAACCAGGATCTTCTGGTCTGGTTTGCAAATTATAATGGAACATCTCTAGAAATGTTATGCAATCTCTCACTGACAATACAAAGTATAAACATGGAAAACCTAAAAGCATCTTCAGTCCCCCCAAAAAATGTTTAAAGTCAGCAGCTACAAATACTGTAGCTGATGACCTTTACCTGTCCTGACACTTACCTGTCCAAGGGTCCAGCGATGTCCTCACTGGAGCCGATTGCTGGTCCCGCAAACTTCCAGGACCCATGTGTGCCCCAGAAGGCTGCGGGGTGGGGGGGGGGGGGGGGGTGGGAAGGAGGAGGAGCCAAAAGATTGCTGCAGCGACCTTACTTAGAAGTGGTTTTTGAGAGGTACCCTCTCCCCCCCAAAAAGTGACAAATGTGGCAGTGGAGGGGGGGGGGGGGGGGGGAGGCAAACCAGCGTAAGTTCCCCTTCCAGGTGAAGTTCCACTTTAACACTTAATCAAATGTCTTGACAGAAATGCATGAAAATATTCCAAGCTGAACCTGATGGTGCCAAAGAGACAATTATGTCTTGTGGTAATCTGCTTAAAGTGATCTGCATATTAGTGCACTTTCAACAACACATTTAAATACTGTCCATGATTTAAATCATGGACATTTAAATCCTGTCTAAATTGTCCCTAGTATGTGTATGTATGAATGTGAATTAGGGACCTTAGATTGTACGCCCCTTGAGGGTTAGGGACTGATGTGAATGTACAATATATATGTACCGTGCTGCGTAAATTGACGGCGCTATATAAATACCTGAAATAAATAAATACTTTTTTATTTGTACTAATATGAACATTTTAAGGAAAAACTTTTGGGGTGTCCCCTTCTTTAACTACAAATGAAAATTCTGTTTGATACAAGAGAAAACAAACTAAATGTGGACCTCAGGTTTCTAAACCACTATAAAATGGTTTTATGACCATTTACACCTATATAGCCCTCTTCTCTACTCCTTATCACACTTCCTTTTATTGCCCGGTGTGACTGCTGTTTTTCCAAGAATTTGTAGCCTTTGCAGATTTCTTCTTAGACTGAGAAGAATGGGACACCTCAAACGCTACTCAACTGTGTTAATGTGTATATATTGATTATAGCACTTGGTGGTATTTTCATTTTATTTTTAATCTTCTACGAAGAAATATCAATGAAAGCAAAGAGAATAAATCTAATCATGTAGCACACATATTCTCACCTGTTCCACCTGGGTCAGGCTTCCTCTCAGGCTTTATGCCTTTCATCACACAAATACTTTCCATGACCAGCTTCACAGGTGCTGGAGGATGCTGCATAGTTTTCACAAGTGAAATATCAGAAGGGTTCAGTGTGTCAAGAGCTGATATAGCAGCTTTTAAAGCTGGCATGGCCTCAGCTAAGTCTCCTTCACATTCATCCTACAGAGACAAAAAGTCACCACAAATGTGTTAACAAAAGGAACAACTAGGATTATTTGGAAGAAATTAGACATGTATAGCAACCAGTTAACTGTAGTCAGATCAGTTATATTAGGTTTTTCTGTGGTGGATGTGGAATCTTGCTTTTTCTCTTCCTCTGTCCAATGCAATACAGTTCATTGAAACTTAATATAAAACACTTTGCTATAATTAGACCAATACAAGATGAATTCTGATTGGCTGTTTAGGATTACTGCACTGCAAAAAACAGTGGGAATTAAAGTGTTACTAAACCCACAACAGTAAAATACATTTTTACAATATTCCAGTGAAATAAATCAAATAAAACGTCTCAGATCACATAGAATCATAAAATCATAAACAAACGCTACAATTCTGAATATAAATAATGGATAGTCCATGGCATTGCAGGTCACAGATGTGCCAAGTGATTCCGTGGCACTACAGGTCACAGCTAGAGATGAGCGAATTTCTCAAAAATTCGATTCGGCTGATTCGGCGAATTCCAGTGTGAAATTCGATTCGATGCGAATTTCTTCGCTACGAAGATGACTTATAAAAAGGGTTTCTAGGCTTCAGAGAGCCTTTAAATTAGTGCAGAACACTGTACCTTTAATTTAAATGCCCTTGGGAGATGAGGAAAGAGAAGGAGAAGGAG